AATTCAGGAGCAGGACCAGACCTCAGCTGCTCTCTTCACTGTCATGTGGCCATAAATACCGGCTCCCCTGTTTCTTCTTGTTGGCTGTGTGTCGCTCATCATGCACAGAACAGCAAACTTACCCCGAACCTCTTCTCCTCCAGCCTGGCTCCACATCTCTGCTTTCATCAGGCTAATCCACTGCAAGGCCTGAGAAGCACAGAGACTGCAGTTGGCCTGGGAGGCTGCACTCAGGGAAAACCATCCACCTGCACAAGAGTGAACCAAAACATAAATACTGACCCTCCAGCTTCTGACTGACTCTGTCTCCGGCACACTCCCATGCGCTCAGCAGATCTCCTGGTCACGTCATTCAGAGAGCTTTAAAAAGAAGGGACACTTATCTTCATGTCACAAAGTTAAACTGCTTCAACTTCTGACTTCAAGAGCTTCTAGAAAGCGCACGACATCACAGAGCTCCGCCAAGGTTGCCAGGTTGGTTCCATTCTATCCCACATTTCCTCCATCACTACATCTCCAGCTCCACCACATCTTCAGCAGCATCCACCTCGTTACTGTTTCATCCTCTGACAGCCTTTCCTGGGACTGGATTACCAGCTCCTCTCCTCCATTTCCTGTTCCCAGCAGCCTCTTCTCTCTCTACTAGCTCATCCTCCATCCTCCATCTGAAGCTCCTCTCTGCACATATACAGTTAAAACCAGAAGTTTACATTCACTGTATAGAAAGACACAAAACCTTTATTTTTCTCTCACTATCTGACATTAAACGTGACCAAACGTTTCCTGTTTCAGGTCAGTTAGGATCACCAAAACTATTTCTATTTACTAAATGACAGAATAATGAGAAAGAGAATGTTTTTGATAATTTTTTATAATTTTTTTCAAAGTCAGAAGTTTCCATACATCTCCTTAGTATCTGGTAGCGTTGCCTTTAAACTGTAGAAGAAATCCAGAGAAGTTCTGTTTGGCATCAGCAGCTCATGGTCACAAGAAAAAAGTTAAAAGGTGAAATTAATACTAAAATAGCAATGCAATGTAAAATAAATCCTCCTCGACTTCTAAAAGTCAGTGATGACTTCTTTTGTCTTGGTGCTGCTGAGGTTCAGGTGCTTGTTGCTGTGCTCAGACCTCCGTCTGGTGCCTCGGTGTTGCTGCTGATCAACCCCACCACGGTTTGATAAGGGTGTTGGAGCTGTGGGTGGAAACACAGCCATGTACGGGTGTAAAGGACTGGACCCAGGACACAGCCCTGAGGAACACCAGTGCTGAGGGCGATGGTGGAGGATGTGGAGGTGGCCATTGTGACATGCTGGGTGTGTTGGTCAGAAGGTCTTTGATCCACAGACAGAGGGAGGCTCCAAGTTGCAGTGTTTGCAGTTTGTTGATCAGTCAGCTGGGGCTGATGGAGTTAAATGCAGAGCTGAGGTCAACGAACAGCATCCTGGCGTATGTGTCGGGGCTTTCAGTGTGGCTCAGAGCCATATGTAGGGCGATGGAGATGGTGTCATCTGGAGATGTGTTCGACCTGATGTTGGTCAGAGCCTGGTGGAATATGGGCCTTGACATGCTGTGACACCGGTCTCTCCATACATTTCATGATCACCGGTGTGAGGGCCACAGGCCGGTAATCAGTCAGCCCTGTGATGGCAGACGATCTGGACACAGGGACTACGGTGGGGACTGTGGTTTGCTGCAACAAACAGTTAAAGATGTTGGTGGACACTGCAGCAAGCTGATGGGCACATGACTTCAGCACCTCCCCTGGTACTCCATGGGGTCCTGGTGTTTAGGGAGTGTCGATGCTACGCAGGACTCTCAGTACCTGGTGCTGTTGGAGGTGGGCGGCTGGTCATGCTCTGTCTTGTTGCTTCTTAATCCACTGCAGGCCCCGCCCCCTCCTCCTGTTCACACCAGGTGACCCCCGATGACCCCCATGATCCCCCGAAACCAGCAGCTTCACGTCCAAGAGCCAAACTCTCATTCACTCGTCATCAGCAGCGCTTTGCATTCTGGGTAATTCCATCAACAACTCTGAACATTTAAACGACGTCTGTGATGTTTCAGCTCAACATATCAAATGTTTTGTCTTTTTTTTTAATTCCCCAGAACCTTTTAGTAATTTTATTTTATTTTTGTGACCAAGTATTTCACAATAAAAGTCTTCTGCATGTTTAGTTGATAAGAAGCTGTTTGATCAGTTTTTTGTTAATGTGACGGCTCCATATTTTAACCCATAATGTTTTCATGTGCCTGTCCAGTGTCACAGCTTCTGATCAGCGACATGAGAAGAAACAACAGTGACATTTCCAAACGCTGTGTCCATGAGACCAGGACTCCAACAGGTTTCTCTCATAATGTGAAACTCAACAGGAATGCATCAGAATGACGTTTTATCTGTGCATGTATGTGATGCTCCAGAACATGTGCAGCTTTCAAATTATGTCAAAGTAAAGAGGTTTAAACCTCACAGGGGTTCTGGAGAAGAAGGAGCAGATCTGTCACATTGAATGTTGTCAGACTACATCTACAGATCTGAAGCACAAAAAGAAAGAGTCCGCTCAGTGCTGGAAGCTTGAACACTGTAGAAATGTATTTCATTGTTTTGTTGTAACTCTGACTTGGACTTTATTTACAGTCTGTTCTCATTCAAGCATTCACACAAGCTGCTGCTGTAAAAAGCCATAATCAGCAATTCTCATTGAATTATGAATCGACAACATATTGTAAAGCATTAAAGGTTGTTTATTGGCATCTGTGTGTAAGAAGTTGTGGTATTTTATACACAACAGTAACTTGTGAAGGCGCTCCTCCAACATGTAGTACGACTGTTCTTTTTAGGGAAGTTAACAGCAGCTGATCTTGGTTTTGTCCAGCGTTTGCTTTTCAACCAATTCTTGAAGAAACATGTTCTTTTATGGGCTTTTGTACGGTGGCGTACATGTACACAAACGAGCTGCACGTACATGAAAGAAAACGCTGCACATCCAGTGCCCCAGGCCTCTAGGGGCAGTAGTGAGCTGTTCACCTGACGGTGAGCGAGACGAGTCACGGCAGGTGAAGGAGAAGCTGCATGAACAGGAATGTGTTCTGTGTTCTCCCTGGATAAACCTAAACACCAGAGAACACGGTAATCATCAGCAAAGTCAAGACAAAGGTTACGTCAGAGGAGGATGGTTCTCCTCCAGCTTCCTTCTGGAGGAGTCCTTGGCCCTCCTCAGCTCCACCTTCAGGTCTTGCTGTAGCCTCCTCATTTCCTCCTTGTCCCCAGACCTGAAGGCCTTCTTCTTCTTCTTCTTGTTGAGGAGGACTTTCAGGTCGCTGGTGATCCAGACCGTACGCTGTTTGGGGAGCAGCGTCTGGTCTTGGCTGGCAGGATGGTCTGCTCACAGAATCTTGTGTATGCTGTGATGCAGTCAGTCATGCTGATGAGGTCCCCCCATGTGGACCACACAGCACTCCCCAGGCAGTAGACTCAAAGCAGTCCTGCAGGGCCTCTTTGGCCTCCTGAGTCCTCCTCCTGACAGTCCTGAATGGTTCTTATGGTGAGATAGTCGTCTTCTGCTGAGTTTCTGGACACTGGGAGTCATCTGGTCCTCCGGTTTATCTACAGCGATTCATGGGATCATCTATAACATGTCATCTCCCCAACACCTCCAGCAGCCCCATCACACTCCCACCTTGGTTCTTCACTGTCAGGACCATGCATTGGCCGGACATGTCTGAGCTGACCAGACTGGACTCTCATCAGAGAATGTGCCTCAAATGCTGATTGGACATCTTTTTGAGTTCTTTGCCATATTTTCTAATAATAATAATGATGTTATAATATTATTATAATTATTATCTAATATAATAATTATATTATTATATTAGATAATTCCAGTTGAAATGTACTGGTTTGAAGTTCGTGCTGGGAACACGACAAAGTCGACAAACCGTGTCTCAGGACACGAAACTACAGATTAAGTTTCGTGACTGTTTTACAAATTGCCGTGACACTGGGTTGGAAGATCCGTGTCCACAAGTGTACATGTGATGTCAATGTGGTCATGGATGTGCACGGAGGGTGTAGCGACTGGAAAACCAACAAATGCATGTTCTGAAGAGATTCAGTGTGGACCACACCTTCCCAGTTCAGCACTGACAGCTTTACCTGGAGTCATGGCTGCTGGGGGATGGAGGATGGAGGGTCTTTGTTCCACACTAACCTCCTGCAGAGACGATGGACAGTGTGGATGTTAAACAGACTGGTTTCTACAAGATCCAGCTTCAGCCACAAACAGAAAGAAGAACCTGTTTCCAAAAGCTTTCTGCTTCAGAAATGATCCTCTGAGAACAACATGAACTTGTGTTGACTGATGAAACTTGTTTTTTGTTGGATGTTTGTACCAAACTAAGAACTGAACATGAATAATAATCAGGACACAGTAAAGCAGCGTCACTGTGCTGCTGGGTTTATTCTATTTCAATGATTTACCAGAAACTCAGACTGAGCTCCACCTGAAGGTCTGTCAGCGCTGAGTTTCATTCTACGCTTTCATTTTGCAGACGCTTTCATCCAAAGAAACTCGATCCAAAGGCAGCAGGATCCAGTCAGGAGAGAACGATGTGAATAAGCACCACAGAACAAGTTCTAACCTGACGGGGCGTGGCTGCCAGCAGCGGCTGAGTGGGACGTAACAAGACTTGACCTGTTTCCCAGCCTGCCAGGTGCACAGGCGTTCAGCCAAGAGCTGGTCTTCAGTCTGTTCTTAAACACTGAGAGGGAATCAGCAGATTGAACAGAGTTTGGGAACTCGTTCCACCACCGGAACCACAGAGGAGAAGAATCTGGCTATCGACCTCGGTCCTGTTGTGGTGGTTGGACCAGGAGGGAGTCAGTTCAGGTAGGACGGAGCTAACATGCTCGATTCTGCTGCATTTTCCTGGTTTTTTATGCTGCTGCACGTCATGGATCGGTTCTGAAAAATCATCAGTAAACAACATTGTCGTGTGTTTACTGGTTAAACTTTGGTTTTGTTGGATATCGGTACCAGTCTAAGTTCTGATCAGAGACAGAGGAACAGCACCATCGTGCTGTTTGGCCTGTTTACCTTTTGAAGCCTGAAGTCACACGATGCACCAGAACCTCAGACTAAGCCCCGCCCTGCAGATCCGTCAGCGCTGTTCAGTTTACCGAGTTCAGTTTTGCAGACTGGATCGGTAGCATGCCTGCGCGGTTCTGTCTGATGCTCTGGTTCCTGGTCCGGTCCTCTGAAGGTGAGCTTGTTCACTTGTTCACATGTGATGCTCCTCAGTTCTCCCTCTGAGGGACCTGGACCGGCTCTGGTCTTGGAGGAACAGATATATTTAGCAGCAGTGTTGTGCTGCCTTCACACTGCGTCAGCTTGGCACTGCTAGCCAGCCAGTTAGCATGTTCCAGCAATGTTCAATAAACACACAAGGCTTGCTTTCCTCGGCGTTTACTGTTCTTTTGTAGCTTTCAAACGTCTTGTAAAACTGAAAATACGGAGAAAATAAAATAAATACACGATCACACGACAGAAACATGAAACAAAACATACAGCTGCCATGTAGCACGAACACGAACAACATTTAGCCACAGTTAGCTAAAGTTTGCTACACAGGTTAGCTGCTAACGGCTCTTATCCCGAGCGGAGTGACAGAAACAGAAACGTCTGCTCTAAAACACTTGTGGAGTGGATTTCATGCTTGTGCACACTTTTACTTACAGGCAAATATTCTCCAGAGCAGGTAACAGCATGTCTGAACGCTTTAGCGATGCTAAAGCGGTGCTACTGATAGCCGCTACAAGCCCAACTCTGTTAACGGAGACTACGGAGAATCAAAGAGTTCACAATGTGTTGGTCAGATGGCTCACTCTGACAGATCTTCAAAGAACTACAAAAAACTACTTTTTAACTTCTTAATCCTGCTTCTTAGCTTATTTAACTTATGTTTTTAATCAACTTACACACATCAACGTCAAAGACAGCTCAAGGTTCATCATGTCATCAGTCACATATGTTAGTGTTTGTTTGTGGAGTTTGGAGCGGCGAGGCGCCGAGAGCAGACGTCCCACACCTCCAGAAGCCTCCAGAAGCCTCCAGAAGCCTCCAGAAGCCTCCATAAACCTCTGAAGGAGACAGAGTCAGCATCACTTGTTTCTCTCCTGAGCTGATGTGATGCCCTGCTGTAATTTAACGGAAACAGTATTTTCTATACAACAGTGTTAGCAGGACTTTTTACATTTTCCCAGTCTGAGATGAGCAGATACGTTATTATTATTATTATTATTATTTTTATTATTATTATTATTATTACTATTATTATTATTATTATTATTGTTATTAGCAGCAGCAGATGGTCTGAACTCATATCCAGAAACGTCCTGCACATGTAGGATCAAAATACAAAATCTGGTTTTAAAGGAGGATGTCACTCACAATATACTTATAATTTAGTTATGGTCTGAAAGGTTTACTCCGTCCAAAATACTACTTATCACAACAATAATGATGACTTGGTTGCTGGACTTGCATCTGAACAAACATACTCGTGTCATTATCAGATAAAATCATATTTGAATCATCTGCTGTGGCCTCCAGATCTCAGCCAGGACCATGTCAAAGGCTGGAAAGGGACGAAACACAGGGACAACTTTGGAGGCACATGTACATACATATATATGTGTGTGTGTGTGTGTGTGTGTGTGTGTGTGTGTGTACTTAATCCAATCTACACAAACACAGAAGAAAGGAAAGTCAATAAGTCTTTTGAGTCTCATCGCTGAATCTCTGATCTCACCACCTCGTTAGAGCGACACACTTTTTGATTTGGAAATCTTTATTTTGTTTTTCACTGTTTTACAAAGTGGAGCAGCAGAACACAGATAAACCTAAATTAGACCCGGTCCTAGAACTGGACCCAGGACACACTAGTCGTCTCCACACTACAGACCGTCACAGTGAAAAGACGAACCATGAAGAACATGTAGACTCACTGCTGTTTACCAGCAGACACCTGGACTCCTCACAGGAGGAATACCTGGTGACTGAGCTCCATAAAAGTTCTCACTAAACTGTGACAGAACCAGCAGCTCTAAGAGGAATCCAGCATGAACAGCTCTGATTTAAACTGGGACCAGTTCAGACACCCGCAGCTTAAGAACATCATTAAAAGTGTAAGACAGCGAGTCCAGAACATTCAGGCTGAAGGTTGTCGATGCTTATTGAAGACAGAGATCAGCTCAACAGGCTTCCATCATCTGATCCAGTATGAACATCCTGTCTGGAGGTAATTCTCATCATCTCTGAGCTGAGCTGTAAGATGTCACTGTGCCTCAGTTAAACCTGGCTTACAGCAGCTTGTCTGAGATGAAACCTGACTGCAGTGGTTCATGAAGAGTTTGTTCCTCACATGAGCAGGTTAATGAGCTGTGTTTATAGCGTTCAGCATTAATGTGATCCATGTTGTGACTGTCGTCCGTCGTGGAGAGCAGTGCTGCTCCGTCACCAGATGACAGACTTCTGGTGTCGTAGCTTCATCGTCATGATGTTGAGGTCAGACAGCAGTAAAACTACATTCAGGTGTTCCTGAAGGAGGACAAACACGACATTACAAATAAAGTGAAACGTTCAGATACTGTCTGGGCTGATTGTGGTTCCTTATGTTGTAATCTGATTACATACTCCTGACCTCATGTAATCTATTACTAGCCAACCCTGATTACTGTTCATCACACCTGATGCTGGTGACAGAAAGAGCAGCTGGGTCCTGTAGGTCCAGACAGAACCAGAACCAGCAGCTCTGTGGTCAAACTGTTCTCATCTGGATGAACTTTAACTTCTCTCTTGGTTCTTCTTCAGGTCAGGTAAACATCACAGCTGAACTTGGAGAGGATGTTATTCTGCCATGTGAAGCTCCCAACACCAACAAACCCATCATAGTTGTAGAGTGGAGCAAACCTGAAGTGGATCAGGAATATGTTTTTCTGTACCGAGATGGACACTTAGATTCAGTCTACCAGCTTCCATCTTACAGGAACCGGGTGGATCTACAGGACAGACAGATGAAGGACGGAGACGTTTCTCTGGTTCTGAAGGATGTGAAGAAGAACGACACTGGAACATACGAGTGTCGGGTTTTCCAGAGAGGAACAAACCGCAAGAAGAGATCCAATCTGCAGACTGATCCCATCATCACCATCTACCTGTTAGTTCTTGAACCAGGTGAGTTTGTGTCTCTGATGAAGCTGCTTCGTCTCAGATCAGATGTTTGTGGTTTATTAAGATGCTGCTGATGAGACTTTGTAGAAAACAGCTGATCTGACTGATGTTCAGACATCTGACACTCTGATACCTCTGTCTGCTCTGCAGGAGACAAGGATGGAGGAGACAAGGATGGAGGAGACAAGGATGGAGGAGACAAGGATGGAGGAGACAAGGTTGGAATCATTGTAGGAATCATTGTAGGACCAGTAGTGGGTGTGATGATCCTTCTTGCTGGTGGTTTTCTGATCTATAAAAGCTGCATGAGGCAGAAGTCACACCTCCCTGTTCCTCCTGATGAAGCAGCAGATTGACAGTTTCTGAGTCAGCAGCAGATCAAACCAGAGCTTCTCGAACTTTCTCCTCCAAAATGAACATGATTCAATTCAGTTTTATTTGTATCGTGAAGTTTACAACACGTTATCTCACAGTGGTTAACAGAGTCAGATGTATGATGGATCCAGCAGCAGCAGAACAAACTGGACCCTGTGGGGGTATGGCAGCGAAGTTCATCTACTTTTAATCAAACCGTGATCTTGATGTGAACTTCACCAAACTGAGGAAACAGCTGTGTGCGTGTCCAGCCAGCAGAAGGCCTGATGTTAACATCTGCACATCCAACAGACTGAACAGGTGGAAGGAGGCAGAAATGAAGAAAGAAGGAAGTTTGTTTACTACTTGAAAAATGAAGTATTAATCTGAAAGTATTTCCATGTTTGCAGTATTGTAATGAAGTCAACAGTGTTTAAAGACCAGCAGCTAAGCTGGTGAAGCAGACCTGCAACGACATGAAGGTTAAAGGACTCTGACAGCACAGCTTACAGGAAGTGCAGTGGGTCCGTTTGCCTCATGAGATGGGCCAAGCTAAGCTAAGCCAAGCTAAGCTAGGCTAAGCTAAGATGAGTCCACAGTGGGGAATAAGCTGCTGTTATAAACATACATCACAGTGGCTCTGAGGTGCAAAACACAAACAACAGAAAACATTTCAGAGAACAACAAAAGCTGCACAACATGTCTTGTGAGGGATCACCGTGCTGCCACGACCAGTGTTTGGTCTCATTGGTTCACAGCAACACGACTCCAGTTTACAGAAGCAGCTCTGCTAGAGCTGATGAAGTGTCTTTCATCTGCTGCTCCACACTGAATCCACCGCTCTGGTTCTGTATGTGAACAACTGGCCTTCTGTGTTTCATGCTCGCTGTTGGTTTTCATCATCTGACGTTGAATGTTTAGGATTATAAAATCCAGTGTTTGTGAAAGCAGCTGCTGTGAAGTGAATAAAACTCCTGATGATCTGGTGTCTCATGTTTCCTCATGAATGTTATTTCATCATAAACTGCAGTCGAGTGGTTGAACATGTGGACAGTCTGATAGCAGGAGGGTCGCTGTGGTGAGTTCACTGACTGCCTTCAGTTTTCCTGAAGTTTCATCTGAACGTCCCATCAGGTCCAGTTCAGTCAGTAGTCTCCTCTCCCGTAACGCCTGCAGGGCTCAGGACAAACTCACGCCTTCAACAGCCAAAACTGCCCCGAAACCGCCATTGCTATCGTCATTTATCAGCACTGGCATCTCAACCGTCACAGGCACTCACAGGTTGAAGAATAACACTGTGAGGTCAGATGGTTTGAACTCAGACAAGGAGCTGGCCGCTGATTTCAGTCGTTTTTATCGTAGGTTTGACACGGATGATTTCAGAGGAAAGTAGATCAGGTAAGGTTTGAACCACACAGCCTGACTTTAATCTGGATTTAATGTTGCAGATGTAAGGATTTCATTCAGTAGAACCAAACTAACAGAAGCCCTGATAGCATTTCAGGGCATCTCCTTAGACACTGCTCAGATCAGCTGTCTTTTAGTTTCCACCATATATTCAAGAGCTGTGCCGGTGGCTGAGGTCGACCCAACGACCCAACGGGACGACAAACTCATTCATAACACAAGCCATTGCTGTACTGAATTCATGTGTTGGAGGATGACAGTAGGTTGGCATGTGTTTGTTCTGCTGTCCACTTCACTGTGGTGTCCAGATGGGACTGACTGACTGTGTTTTGTGTTTCTTGCCTCCCTGCAGAGCAAACAGGCCTCAGAGGACAATACAGTTAAAGTTAGTAAGTAATTTAATAACAGTCATTTATGTGTTGTGAATGGGACTCAGGCGGACAGACACACAGCAGGCCGGCTGAGTGAAATAAAGCTTTATTGACAGTAGTGATGCTCACAGAGAGAAACCAAAGCTGGAACTAAACTACAGTATTTACACTCAAAAACCGGAACAGGAAACTGGGTCAAAGGTAACCGGTAAAAGGTGACGCCAACAAAGGCAAAAAAAGACCATCAGGAATACAAGGCAACAACAGCTACTGCCTCCTAGTGGCAGGAAAACTAACTACCAAATAGAGATATAACCCAACTGAGTTAAAGTTAGAACCAATGACACTAGATACAGAAGTTATTTAGCAGTTATGATATCATGAATCCAAGCCAAACGCAGAACCACCAACCCAGGAGGGAGATCATTTAACCAGCAGACAGGTAGGTACTACACTACGATCTGCAAACCATGTCCAGGATCCCAGCATGAGACCGGAGGCTGACGAGCTGCACGGGGCCGGAGGTGGACGAGGCAGCAGTGGTGAAGCAGGACGGCGGTGGACAGAGACGGTAGAGAATGGTCCAGGATTCCTTCAGAGGAGAAGCCAGTTTGTGCAGCAGGGACCAGAGTGTGAGTGACCAGGATCCAGGAACAGGTCACCTGAACCATGAAGGACTCAGGGCAACAAAGTGCAGCAGATCAAAAACTGAGGAGGTTACCGTCCGGCGTCCTCTCATGGTTTTTTATATGGTGAGTAGATCATTCAACACCACAATATTTTCTACACTGACATTATTTCTGCAGTTCCTTACTGGCTTTAACATGATTTAAAAAACAATACCAAAAAAAAAAGACCATTGCCATAACAGTGGTAGGTACTGCTCATAGTGAAGCGCTTCTTATTACATAATGAGCTCGACTTCATATGGAGTCCCTATTGCAGACCTGGCAGGTAGTAGCACCGCAGACCTGGACTGAAGACCTGGAGACCTGGAGACCTGGAGCTGCCTCCGCCTGGCAAACAAGGCATTCAATCAACTACACATCAAACACGTGTAACTACACACATGTGCAAAACTCATAACAGACAAAGAATGTGTTTGACCGTAATGAACATATTCACATTAAACATGTTCTGCGTTACACATAAACTGGCATCAGACTTTAAACACCTCCTGTGTCATGCAGTGTTCGTCGTGCGTCTTTTACTCACTTCAGTGGCGCAAATAATTTGCACATTGAAGCTGTGTTCAGACATGACATGGTAAAGTCGTTTACGTGAATGATTTACCTGTAAAGTCAATGTGAAGACGCGATTCGCTTCATTCCAGCTTTTCCTCCATTTCTCAAAGAATGCGTGAGGAGCCGGTTCTTGACCTCACCACAGAATATCAACGCTGATTGGCCATCGCGGCGCCAAAGATCGCAAAACATGAATTTGTTTTGCGTGTTTAACGCGGCGACAATCGCGTCATTCGTGTGAAGAACTCGCTGAATTCGTGCCGTGCTAATTGTGCGATTCGAGCTGCGGGACGTTTACTCGCCTCTAATCGTGTCGTCACGTTGACTTTACATGTAAATCATTCGAATGATTTTACTTGCGTCTGGTGTGAACACAGCGTCACAGACAGCTCATTGGCAGCACGGCCAGGTGATGTCCTGGAACACACCTGCCTCACCTGCTCCACCTACAAAGCAACCATTCAGAGCCATGCATAAGTCATGTGTTTACACGGACATGCTCATTGGATAACACACAAGAGTGCAGTTATTTGCATCACACCTCTGACTGTCGTGCTCCTCTGTCTGCTAAATTCAAACCACATAATACAATGAACACATCGGCCACAGACCCCTCTGCGGCGATCCTCGGTGACCTCCCAGAACACACCTGGACAACACGTGGCGCCGCCGCCACCTACAAAGATGTTTGATAAACAAACTCCACATAAACACTCAGGTACATTTCCGTTCTTTCACACCTTGGCACTTACTACTCCAACTCGTCAAACATGTCTTTGGCTCCTTTGCTACAACAAATCTTAATGTCTCAAACATTTTATGGATCAAAACACACACCTGCTGCTGTGGCAGCTCCTCAGGTAAGGTCCTCTTTAGTCACATGTACTCACGACATTTGCCTGACGTTGTATGACCATTTACAAACATGTCTGTATGTACGACTATTAAACATTCCCATGTGTGCTGCAACACGATGGTACTCGTGGTGAAGGTGTTCTTTCAGCGTGAGGTCGGAGTTCAGGCGTGGAGGAAAGTCCCCTACAACCGCCTCTAATGAAACTATTCCCACAACAACCGAATCCGTCATTCTGCACAGATCAGATAAACACACACCAACTAAGCACCCTTATTGGCTAACATTAGCATGGTGGTTGCAGAACGTGGCTAGGATCCTGCCAAAGTCTGGCCTCGTTGATGGTTCTGCTAGCAGTGAGGTTGTTGCTAGGAGCTAGCATCCTCAACTCAGATGCAGCTGCACCTTGCGTTGCCATGACACCAGACGACCCTCTCCCTCTCACCAACAAGCACCACAAACTGTAACGGCAACATCTTGTAATGTTCATATCACCACAGCAGTTCTTGGGGATCCTACAACAGGAATACCTTCTTGTCTGGGGACTCGTATGATCAGTTTGTGGCTTCGTCCAGTCAACGATGAAGTTGGCCTTTTGTGCACAGCAGCCAGTAGCGCTGCCGATTAGACAAACGCAAAGCATCCACGCATTAAACATCATACCGTACCAATCTGAGTGCATACAGCATTCATATCAATGACTGACACAGGACATGAAGAAGACAGCCCACCATCACCATCCGTGTTTACTTCCACAAACACTCAGATTATCAAGTCACGCCTGGACATCCACCGTTCACCACAGCGCTGGATTAACAAAGTCGGATTAGGGGCCTCTGATTAGAACCTCCTTCAGGAGTGGCAGGTGTTTAAAACTCTGGCATCAGGGTCAGTGTCATCATGACAGGATCCAAAGAGCTCCGTAAGACCCTTAAAGACCCACATGTCTCATCAAATAAATCCACTGTAAGAAAAATCATCTTCAAGTGGTGCAGGTTTACCAAATTCAGCCCAAGAACAGTGAGCTGAATAAAAAAAAGTTATCAAGAGTCCAGATTTGAACCCCCTAAAGTGTTGAAACAGTTCATACAAGGAAGGCGTGAAGCTGGAGGGACGAGTGGTTGAAGACTTCAGGAAGCCAGCGGTGGAGACAGTTAAGCAACAGGAAGTTATTTCTGCTAAATGGGGCGACGCGATCATTTCAGACGCCCAGTGTTCACTGATGATTATTAAATGTATTGATGTTTTTATTGGATTCATGATTGTCTGTGTCGTTGAGGTCAAATGCTGGATACCTCGTTTCTACGGAGTGTTTTAAAGACGATCATGTGCCTGCTTGTCCAAATATATTCCTTCATCATCGTCATTTGTGTGGCTTTTAAAACTGTCCATCTCAGCGTATGTGTGGTCAGAGTGAAGAAAACAGAAGCAGACCTCTGAGTAACGCCTTCCTCCCGTCACATTGCATTACAGCAAACACATGAGCTGCTGCTCTGGTTCTGTATGAATCCCCACAGCCGGCTGCACACTGGCAGCAATACGACCGTGACCCAACTTCACTGTATTTCCATTAGACGTACCAAAGCGTATCACTTTCACTTCCCACCAAAACAGGTCCTCGTGTCACTGTCACCGACATCAGTACGAGGCAAAGACAAAAGAAGAAAGGGAGAAGAAGAAAAAAACTTTGCCTCTGTTCTATCACTCTCATTTTCTATTCATAATTAAAGTGTCTCAGAGGACCCTTGCACTGCACTGTCCTATTTCCATATTCACAGACAAAGAAAGCTTTTTTATACTTGGTTCTGTCTGGAGAAATCACTGCATTTCTTCTTCATAATGGTGTCTTCCCGTCCCCACAGAGTTGGACTGTTCTCCAAATCAGAATGTGGTCTCGTGTCCGCCTCCGAGCTTCTATTTCCAGCATCTTATTATGGGATCTGTGTACTCCGGCTGTGATCTCACGCTTCAGTCTCGTGCTCCGTGCCTGATATGTTTCGTTGTAAGCAGGATGTAAAGAACAATCTCAATAAAACAATGTCGGCATGACAGAACTGCTGACGTGTAGATGTGCATCAGGAAGCTGAACAGAGGCAACCTGTTACAAACCAGT